ATTAGACATGATAGGGCTATTAAGTGGAGATATTGTCATAAGACATCTAAGAACATAAGAAATATGTTGCTTGCTTTGAAAATAAACATCTCACCTTTGCTTCTTTTTCTCTGTGAAAAGCTCAGAGAGGTCAAACTATTAACTTGGGTCTTTCCAACATGCTCGCATCCTGTCATTTTCTCCTCCCCCAATCAGATCTGGGATTTTAGCTGCAATCCTTCTCCCTGTCATTCCAGAATGTCTGTATTATGTTGGAACTGCAGGGCTGAGAAGCCAGGCAGAGATGCCTGTGAGCTGTAACCCATCCCTGCTTTCACCAGTCATAACAAAACTTGCCATGATTCCAAAGCTGTTTGCTTTGAAAGGAGCGCATCCTCAGATGTCTTTCCAAGTGCTTATCTCCAGCCTTTCTTCATCTCTAACCTGCATCTGAAAGCTCACTCTTCATCTCTACGAGTAACAAGGCCGCTTGTCTGGGCTGAGAATGGGGCTTGAGGTGGCCACGCTGGTTGCTTATGTTCACCGATGGCAAAGGAGCTGAGCGTCCAGGACGGAGAGAGAGGACAGGTTCAAAAGGCGATATTTATTTATTTAATATGTTTTTATTGATTTCAGAGAGAGGGAGAAAGAGATAGAAACATCAATGAGAGAGAATCACTGATTGGCTGCCTCCTGCATGCCCCACCCTGGGGATCAAGCCCACAACCTGGGTAGGTGCCCTGACCGGAAATCAAACGGTGACCTCTTGGTTCATAGGTCTATGCTCAACCACTGAGCCATGCCAGCTGGGCCAAAAGGGGATATTTAAAAAGAGTCCAGTGAAGGGACTCTTTCCAAGGTGGGCAAGGCTAAGGGATGGTGAAGCACCCCAGGGTTAGCAACAGCAGGGAGCCATGACTGTCCTTGGTGGGAAGAGGCAAGGAGAGGGGGAGGTCACTGGAATTTGGTAAGCACGCCACCAACAGGAGCTGTGGCCGTGGAGAGAAGAGGAAGGCTCTGCCGAAACAGTGCGGCACGGAGTGATGCCCCATCCTTCTCCCCACCTGCGCCCGCCCCCCTCGTCTGGTGTTCTCCACTGGCTGAACCCCACTGGAAGCCAGCAGGTAAGGGAGACTGGCGGGTGCGGTCTGTAGTGCCCAGCCTCCTGAGGCACAGAGCAGAGTGGAGGGTGGATCTGGGGGTAAATGGAGACAACACCACACACTCTGAACTCCGCCCACCACAGAGGGTTGGGCATACCCGGAGAGGATAGAGTCAGGGTGGTAGAGACCCTGCAAGAGCTTCATTGCAGGATAAGGCCGGGGACCCTCAGGGAATTTAACATCAAGTTGTTGGACCTAATGAGTGAGACTAGGAGGAAGGAAAGGACAGGCACTAATGAAACTCATCCCATCGTGTGCCCCCAGGAGCAGCGCTGTGTCCTCAAATTCAAAGAGCCTAATGCTTCACTGGATTCTGTGACACTCAGGCCTCAAACAACCTTGCGGTGGGGACCCACTTCACCAACTGAACACGCAAGGAGTGTTCACCTCATTCCATTGGGGTGTGAGGGGGGCTTCCAGCTTTCTAGCTCCTTGGCCCCTAGGTGGTGGTTTGGTCCGAAATGTCCCTCTGGGCGGGTGTGAAGCCTTTTGGGTGCTAGTCTCTCCAGGTAAGTCAGCAGACGATGTCCAGCTCTGTGACGTGGACACATGGAGGCCCCTCTGGAATCCCGAACTACTTGGGACTGTGAGAGCCTGGTCTTCTTGAATCAAGAAAGATTTGGGTACCAATACACTTGTTTTCACAGGCTGGTGAATGTTGGGACCTTTTCCCATCCTTGTAGCTGAACTTCAAGGTGGGAGTTCTGGCTCCATGTTTAGAAATGAGGGTTCAGTTCACAGAAGGCAGTCCGGGCGGGCTGAATAAACAAGCAAGTGAATGAAAGAGAGAAAGAGAGGAAGGGAGGGAGGGAAGGAGGAAGGAAAGAAAAGACAAAAAGGAGGGATGAAAGGAAGGAAGGAAGGAAGGAAGGAAGGAAGGAAGGAAGGAAGGAAGGAAGGAAGGAAGGGAAGGAAAAAAAAAGCCCAGGTCCTTTTATTTCCCAGGCTCCCTCTGTTCTGCCAGATAACCTGCCTGAGGAAGGCAGGGGACTGAATGACCCTGGGTATCCTGAAGTCTAATCTATCTCAGGATAGTGCTATGTACTGACGGGCATGTAGTTGATGCTCAATAAAAAATTGAGACTATATAAGTCAGGGGTCCTCAAACTTTTTAAACAGGGGGCCAGTTCACTGTCCCTCAGACCATTGGAGGGCCGGACTATAGTTTAAAAAAAATATGAACAAATTCCCATGCACACTGCACATATCTTATTTTGAAGTAAAAAAAAACAAAACAGGAACAAATACAATGTTTGTATTTGCATGTGGCCCGCGGGCCGTAGTTTGAGGACCCCTGATATAAGTAATGCTGTGGTGACCCTTTTCATGCATTTATGTTGTCAACATTGTTGATTGTTAGTGTCTGATTCTGAGAGGGGAAATGACTATATCAAAGAGCATGAACTTTTTCAAGTCTTTTGACACATACACCAAATTGCTTTCGGAAAAGGCTGAACACGTTGCATGACTTGTCTTGAAACTGCCGTGGCTCACTTAGGTTGTTCTAGCTAGCGGTTGATTTCCTCCCATCGGAGGAGACTTTGCTCTGAAACTGTCCCCACCATCACCTCCAGCTAGGTAAACAGTAGCTAGGATGATGATTATTGTTGCTCCCCCCCTCCCCCCGCCACCTCTGGGTCTCAGTTTCCCCACCTGTACGATGGACTCCAGCCAATGCCTGCTTCTTGCAGTTAACAGTCTTCTTTTCCTGGAACCCTGGTCTCCACCTTGAGCCCAGGATCTACCCCAGCCAGTTGGAATCTCTGTACTTAGAGGCCTCAGGAATGTAGCCTGCTGAAAATGAGGCTAAACTAGGTCTTCCAAAGAAAATGCCCGTTTGGAAAACGACCTCCCATAGCTCTGCAGCCATGGGCTTGTCTATCGGGAGATGCCATTGATGGCCCCTGCCAGAGGTCAAGCCCCCTTAATATCCTGGACTTCTCTCTTATCCAACTTAACATGCTTTGCAATTACTTGTCACATAATCTAACATCACTCCCTCCACTAGACTGGCAACTCCTTGAGGGCAGCGGCTGCCTCTCTTTCCACTTCCGGGTTCCTCAGCAGTGATTGCAGAGTAATCGGTAAGTCTTCAGGTGAAACTTACTGAATGAGGAAATGGACAAGAGAAAGCATTCTGAGGACAATCATTTAAAGTGAATAAACACACGCATTAAAAATCTTGTCCTCCTGCTTGAGCGGCCGAGATGAGAAAGTAGAGCTCTGACAAACCAAACTAAGCTCAGCCTTTGGGGGCAACCCAAGAATTTTTCTAATCTACTTCTTGTTGCCAGAGGAGCGAAGGCAGCTGAATGTAGGCTTGGCGGGGTCCACAAGGGAAGTCCCTCAGGGTCTTTCTCTGGAGGCGGGGTGTCTCCCAGCCAGATCTGTACCTCTGTCTGGGGTTTCACCTACTCTTTCAAGTCTGACTCCTCCCTCTTCCCCCTACTTGAAAATCTCCTCCACTGCCTTTGTTTTCTGGAAGGTGCTGCATCTGTCTCAGGAGGGCCCAGGGCCCTGTCTCCACTCAGGGTCTGGGGACCTTGGGCTGGACTTGTCAGCAGACCCCAGCCAGCCCCCAGCCAGCCCCCTGCCCCACCCCAGTCCGCAGCATGGCCTTGATTTCTTTCCTCAGAAGCTGGGCTGGGTGGGATCCGGCGACAGTTCCCACCAAACTCCCAAGCTGACTGCAGACATTTGTGCTGTCAACAGAATTGCAGGAAATGCAATTGGTGTTGTTAATGAGCAGCTTGTTTGGGTAAACAAACCAGGTGAGGTGAAAAAAGTGATGCTCTCCAGTAGGAAACACAAGTGAGCATTAGCCAGATGGAGAGCGTGCTTCCGCACACTTCCCTTCCGAGGCTCTGGTGGCTGGAGCGGAGGCTGCGGGAGCCCCACCAGAGCTGGGACCTGCACCCCTCCTGCCTGGCCTGGATGTCCTCCCAGAAGAGCAGACAGCCCCTTGTCCCCAGCATCACCCTGAGCCTGCACGGTGCCTCAGGTCCTGCTTGGCCTTCACCTGCTTTGTCATTACTCCTCATGGGTCTGTGTGAGGTGGGTGTTATGAAACCCACTTTACAGTTGGGGAAACTGAGGCTCCGAGATGAGGAAGACTCTTGCTCACAGTCAGGATGGTGGAACTGAACCCAGGTCAACCTGACTCTTCAAGCCTATGGTCTCCCCACTAACCCACAAAGTTCTCATTGCCCTCATCCCTGCCTCCCCTGTCAGTGTCAGTCTAATGGGCATCTGTAGCTGCCTCCTCCCTCAGACTGTGAGGCTGAGGAACCTTTTAACTTCCAACAGTGGGGATTTGCCGCCTGTCTGGTCAGGATGGCATGGCCTTCTGAAAGCTGTGCGGGGAGATTTTGACCAGCTTCCTCATGACAACAAAGAATGTGTGTGTGTGTGTGCGCGCACGCATGTTCATTCACCAATCCATTCCAAGAGGAACTGGCTTGTCTCTGGAAAATCAATAATTTAGGGGCATTCTCAGTCCTCTCATCATAAACTGACTGCATACTCTTTTTTGTTAGCCTCAGATCATTCAGGAACACACACACACACACACACACACACACACACGCACACACACACATGGATATGGCTATATTTTACAGACATGAATGATTTGGGTAATTGCAATGACTAAATCTGTCCCCCATACAGACATGGTCAGGAAGAGGGAGGTTCAGGTTGCAGCCTCAAGTCTTACATATGTTTCTGACTCTCTTTCTACATTGCTCAAGAAAAAAAAAAAACACCCCACATTACATTCATATGTTGTAATGCCATGAGTTATTTTCCCCTTAGCATTCAAGGGTAAAGAGTCCATTAAGCTGTCATCAGCCACATTACCAGCAGGAGAAGTCGGGGCAGACAGTTTGGCTGTAGCTGCCCGGGGCACACGCGCTCTGCCCAGGATGAAGACTCCGTGGTGTCCGTGTGCGTGTGTTGCCCTAGAAGCAGAAATCAATTACTCCTACTGCTCTTAGGAGATGATCTGGTTGGGGAGGCTTGCTGTGAATGCAGCCACCGTTCATTATTGAGCTCTTTATATGTATAATATCTTTCTGACTACAGGAAAACCGAAGCTTGGGGAGAGAGAAGCTGTATCACAGAACCAGAGCATGGCTCATGCTGGGGTTTGATCCATCATCCCCCTGGCTCCAGCCCCTGTGTACTGAACCACTTGGCTATCGTGTCTCTCCTGCAAACATTGGTGGTTTATTCCCTATGAGTGGCCTATGTCATAGTAGCTCCCAGCTTTCGAGTGGCCACGTATTACGTGTCAGGCCCCATGGTTATCTCATGTAATCTTCACCGCAACTCTGTAAGGCAGGCTTTTCTATGAGCTCAACCTAACAGCTGAGGAGACGGACTCTTGGGAAACAGGGACTTGGCCAAAGTCACCCAGCTCGAATGTGCTGGGGGTGTGTGAACGAGGGGGGTTTGTTTTCCACTCTGCTGTGCTGCCCTCCAGCTCGGCACACAAGCCAGGAAGCAGAGGGGTTTCCACAGGCAGCTGCCTTCTCTGAATTCAGATGAGTTTTCAGGGAGCAGCTCAGCTTTCTCTTTCATGTAGGTGGGAGCCTTTCCTTTGAATGAGCCAATTATGTTCAAAAAGCAAAAAATAATGTATGCATATTAGCTAATGAGGATGCAATTCAGGATATTTTTAGCCAAGCTGAGAGAGAGAGAGAGAGAGAGAGAGAATGAGGGAATGGGGAATGGAGCTTGGTAGAAATTGTTTTGAAAGAGCAGGCAGCTTGGGAATCAGACATCCCTTTAGCACAACTCTCAGCTCTTGTCGCTTTTGGCTGGGTGACCATGGACAAGTCTCCTTCCCTCTCTGGAATGTGTAGCATAAAACCTACAGGGGTGTAGTAAGGACTGGAGATAATGTGAGTCACCAATTGTACCCATGATAACTATTCATTTATCAAATATTTATTATTGCTAGACCCTCAGATTTTATAGATATAATAATTTTATCCTCATCACCATTCCATGAAGCAAGTGCTGACAAACCTCCATTTTCCAGATGAAAAACAAAGTTAAGGTGAAGTAATTTGCTCTAGCAGGGTTCGGATTCAACCCCAGGCAGATGGTGCCCTGACCACCACGTGATGCTGCCTCTTTGTCCCTAAAGAAATGTGACTGTGAACAACGGGGAGGCATTAGTTTTAGGAGGTAGGGTCTTCTTTGGGAACCTCAGTAAGCGACCTACAAAGCAAGCACAACTCGGTCATTGAACTGGGTTGGGAGATCTCCTCCCCAATGTCTTGGCCACTCTGACTGACCAGCAAAAACTCTGCTCAGGCCAAGACATCAGAGAATGAGGGTCTTACTCTCCACTCAGATGCTAAGGCAAGTCTGTCTCTATCACTCATTTTGTGGGTCTTGACATGAGAAGTGGGGGATATACTAGGATTGAAACTTTAGAATTTAATCAACTCACAACAAAAATACTACAAAGGGCCTGGCCAGTGTGGCTCAATGGTTGAGCATTGTCCTATGAACCAGGAGGTCCAGGTTTGATTCCCAGGCAGGGCACATGCCCCGGTTTCGGGCTCGATCCCCAGTGTGGGGCGTGTGGGAGGCAGCCAATCAATGATTCTCTCTCATCATTAATGTTCCTATTTCTCTCTCCCTCTACCTTCCTCTCTGAAATCAATAAGAATATATATTTTTAAATACTACAATGGTTATGTGAGAAAAAAAGTGGTTGAATAGGGAAATAATATATATTAATCCTATCGAATAAAGAGGGAATATGCTAATTGACCCTCACACTGTTGCAAAGATGGTGGCGCCCACAGCCAATAAGGAGGAAATATGCTCATTGACTGCCCTGCCCTCAAAGATGGTGGCGCCCACAGCCAATAAGGAGGGA